ACACACACACACACACACACACACACACACACACACACACACACAAACTACAAATTATGTGAGCGCTCTGTCTTCTGTTAGGGAGGGTTAATTGGGGGAGCAGAGGGGAGGGCAGACAGAGAGGCAGAGTGTTAGGAGGGGGTGCGGATGAACAGAGGAGCTGCTGTAAAGTGCTCTGATTAGCAGGAGTAATTATACTGCAGCGGTGAAGGCACTGAATGCACACTGGCCACCTTCCACCACTATGGAAGCCGAGCCACTCAGATGCCACTGTGGGATGTGGGGAGGGAGGGGGGTGGGAGCGATGAACAGGGTAATAAAGAGAAAAGAAGTCGTCTATCTGTTTTTTTTATCTTTTCCCTCTCTTGTTCTCGAGGAGAAACACTCGAACAGACGTGCAACACTTCACGTTCTATGCAAATCAACGCAACCCGGACACTGAGCAGCTCCGGCGCTGACGGAGAGACTGAGCGAAACATGCAGGAGGAGTTTTCAATTTCAGATCAAAAGAGGTTCACACGTGTGCAGTGTCCAGAGTTTAATGAAAAATGTAGGGGTCAAAACGCACTTGACAGGGCCGGGGGAAGAGCGTGCATGTGCCACGTTAGCCTGTTTGTCTGCGTGGAGCAGCCAAGGACTGAGCCTGTACAGTAAGAGTGTGTGTGTCCTGTAGTGAAGTGGGGGTGCTCATGGAGGTCACTCAGCGAAACCTGAGCACGAGCAGAAGAAATCCCAGGACTCGTATCGACCCATCATCATAGAATACCAGCACAGCACATATGCGGCAGCTCTCTCTGTCTGTTCTTATCTCCGTTCCTTTCTCTTGCCGTTCCTGTCTCTGTCACTGTATTGCGTAAATTGACACTTGGTGACAGCTTGATATGAACTGGGGATTTGGGGATTTGGGGATTTGAAAATGCCCCAATCATATCTTCTTTCCACATGTCGAGGAGAGACAACGACAGGAGGATAGGAATTAAAAAATATCCACTCGCTGAAAACACATTGCACAGACAGGATGGGAGTATCAGTGAGGCCGCTTCCCGTTTGCTGCAGAAAACATATCTGTATGCACAGTCATCGCAGACCACCATGGAAAGCAGGGAAACATCATCTCTGCCACATGTGACTGCAGCTATTACCCACAGACCCAATGGTGCTATGTGACAGGGCTCCTCTTTCAAATGGAGCGACGAGGTCACTTATCGTGCCATCTCCAGTCGTCACCGTTTTCTGCCGCTAACAGTGCCATCGCTCGGGACCGGACGGGTCAAAGGTGATAGTGGCAGCATGGGTGGGCGCTGAACGGGCAGCAAAAAGTTGTATTGTGCCCTTATTGTACATCAGATATTTATGATTCATATTTCGAGTGCTCAAGGGGGCAGCTCTTTTTTTTTTATGTCTGACAGCTCTGTCACGTTAGCCCAAAGGGTCTCAGAGTGTACATGGCTTCCTTTAGCTTGCTGAGAAACAACAGAAGTCTTGACTGACTCATATCACTGTATGAGTCTTGTTTGAATATGGGTGGAATCTCGGGCCTGATGGGGAAAAAAAAGAAAGAAAGCAGAGTTGGCGAGGAGAAGAAAAAAATTGATTCCTGCCTTCTCGCCTTGTGAAATGTGGTAAGCACATTGAAATCCTCTACCGACTCTTCAGATTACTGTAACAAGGACGTTTTTCACATGACTCTGCTTCTTTTCTACATGATGCAAATGTTAGAGCACAGATGTGGATATTGCGCAAACATTTGTATTTGTTGGAGAGGAGATCAAATAGTTTGGTTTTGAATGATCCTTCTTCCCTCAGCATTTAAGGGAATGCTCAGTGAGGATGACAATGCTAACATGTGAAAGTTCAGCAGATATAATAACAATCATGTCCAATTCAGATTTGCATTAGTTAGCATGTAGGCATTAGTTTACCCATCCAAAACTTACAGCTGAGGCTGATGGGAGTGTCATTGGTTTAGTCAGATACTGACTGTTGCTATTTATTAAACAGAATTCCATTCACAACGTGGACATTGAGAGGAAGAGTCATGCGATGATCAATATCAGATATATTCCTATCAAATTTGATATTAATAAATCCAATAGGCTCTGAGATATCGTAGTCTATAGAGCTGAAAAAGCAAACTGAACAACATGTTAAACAGAAATCATTAACGTGACTAAAATCTGCAAAAGCTTCATCTCCATTTTTCTCCAAAGCGTCACCTTCCTTCTCTTTTGTGCCATGAAATCATCCCTGCTGCAGATCAGTTTCATTTAAATTTGACCTGATGGCGCCGAATTTAAAATGCAGCGCAGAGCTAAGCTGTGGCCTTTATTTCAAATGGTCTTGTTAGTGGTACAAGTTAATGCTGTGATAATTTATTGACAGTAAAAAACTTAAAGAAGCACCTGCGATGGTGTTTGGTACTTGGGGAAGGACAGGTGCTAAGTCATTGTCGGTGTTATTAGCACTTCTTCCACCTTATCTACCTTTGCAGCTCTTATCTGTCCTCATTTCTCCACTGCCTGTTAATATGCTAATACAGTTTATTAAAAGAGGAATTTACAACCAGTGCGTGGTGCTAGCGCTTCCACTCTTGACAACAAGGTGTTTTTCAGCTTCATTAACTTAGATCCAAATACCCACCAGCGTCTGAGGCCACGAAATCTTTAACATTCAAGTCCAGTCAGGATTCTGAATACAAATATTCGACTCAAGACTGAGCCCCAGCCTTCATATTAAAAGCTAACATTAAAATATTCATTTAAAAATGATAATGCACACAGGAGATCAATAAATGACTGGGCATTTGCAAGTGCTCGTGCTATTAGGAGCTTCCTTTAAGCATTTAATCACTCCACAACTTAAGTGCCTCTTGGTCAAATGTTTGCATAAAAAAATGGTAGGAGAAGAGCATCTTCCAAGAAAAAACAAAACCATTGGTTGGAAAAAGATGTTTGGTTGTTAGCACTGAGAGTGTCGAGCTTTATTTACCATCCTCACATATCTAATATCGCTTTAAGAATAGATGGAGGTTTTTTTAGAAAGGACATTGGGAGCAACAATACCTAAGACATCATACCTCCCAGATTTGAGCCTTACCACCCCCCCGAGAAAGTCGATTTCATGCCTCATCCAACCCGAGACAATTTACAACTTCCTCAGCCAGGAAAATAGCTGAACTTCGCTGCTGCACTGTTGCCCTCTGCTTTGTGGGAGAGCTGATTATTCATTGTCTTTGTGTTGACACTGCAGTCGTCTTTGACCTTTTAATGCTAAAGCTTTCAACTAACTCTATTTGAACATCTGACCAGGCCTGACCTCTGACCTCTCCTGTTCCCACACGCATGTGAAAGTCGGCCCCGGTGTCTGGTTCAAATACAACATACATGATGCCTCCAACACAGCTGGCAGCCAGTTTGCAGTTAGTGGCTTTGAGCTGCTCTGATTCACGGGTGCATTCACATATTGCATTTTAGATGTGGTTCTAACAAACCCTGGTCGTTAATGCTGGTGGGAACGATCTCATTTGCACTCTGATGTGGACCAAACAACCACACCAAGATCGTTTACTTCCTCTTCCACATTTTCAAGCTTTAGCTTTAGTCCAGAGCAGTTAATGAGTCTGTGTGAATTTGCTTTTTTTCCCTTTTTCTGTTCACACAGAAAGAAAACTTGCATTAGGATGTTCATTCTCTGTGTCCTCAAGATCTAGGGTGGCCGGTTAGGCCTTGATTTATTCTCATGCTACCTTCTAGTAAATTTTGAGTTATCCACACCCCACTACTGACGTTTTCAGACATGAATAACGCAGCAGGAGATTCTGCGTTCACAATAACACAGATCATCAGGTTAGGGGTGGCACAGCATGCAGGAGGCAGAACGTAACATCACACATGGACACTCAACATCAACATGCCCACTCACTCAAGGTAAATACTCTATACTAAACAGGAGAGGATCTCCTACTGTATTCTCACATGGGCAGCGTTTTTACTAGAGTGCAGGCCTAAGAAACTCTGGAGAAAGTGCGGAGCCTCTCACTGACATTTGTATTCTCACACGCAGTCCTTCCTGTCTGGAGATTATTCGATGCATGTTTAAAAACAGCTTATGTGAAGCAAACCAGGCTAAGGGAGCAGTTTAGCTCAGACTTGCTGACCACGCCTTGTAATTGATCGGATAAAGGTTCCACCACAAACAAACTCATTCAGATCTAATTTGTGATCATATTGAAAGAACTTCCTGCAAAAGATCCTAGTGAAGATGTTATTGGTCTATGAATTCATTGTTTGAGTCTGCCTAAACATTAATATTGTTTAACTGGACCAAACGGCAAACAGCTGGTACACTCTGTCACCAGATCCAATTTTATTTTATTTACATCAACGATGGTGTTTTTTTCTGAATTATAAATTAATAACTGGAGATTAAATCACATCATGTTTTTTAGAGCCAATCATCTAAAACTCAAATGTATTCAGTTCACACAGGATAACAAAAGCAGTAGAGAATGTTTGGCAATTGAATAATTATTTCAGGTATATTTTAAATGAAAGATGACTTCAGGGTTAGACATCTTTAGTAATTAGTGACAGTTCGGTCAGGAACACAATGTCATGATTTACCCATTTGTTGCAAATGGGGATACAGTTATGATTGGCGTTGAAGGCTCCATTCCTTGGATGTTCCCTGGATTAGCCCAGCAGTATGCTAATATAAAACAGGAAACACCCCTGTTGGGTGTAGCAGGCAATGTGCCTTTGTTTAGGATGAATATCGTTTACCACCACCGTGTTTGGACTCGGTGCTAAAAAGGTGGTGGTGGAGGCAAGTGGCCGGCAGCAGGCATGGGTGGCAGTGTAGCTGAGCAGGGATTGTGAGGATGAGGTCGTATTGAAAGGGACCGCTTTGGTGAGAGAATCAGCTGTGATTGGTGGGTGGCTGACGAGCACCCGTAACCTATCGGTAGCTGACAGCTGAGCACATGACTCTGTGTCCTGCATGAACTAACGCGATGCTTCATTTCAAGTGAAATTGACCAAAACTAAAAACCTTCTCAGCTGTCTTTGGCCTGGACTGTTGTGTAAGGAACCTGAGCGTGGAGAGGACTTACTGTGACAGACTGAGTCACTGGTGGGCGTGCACTCAGCCAGCTGTATCTCAGTGTCCTCATCACAGATGGTGCAGGGCAGGCAGGGTTCCAGGGAGCTCTCCCGGTCAGAGAAGGTATCGTCGAGACACTCCTCGCACACCGTGTCGTGATCGTGCTCGCAGTGACTGAACACACCTTGTCCCATCGGGCACACAGTACATGGCTCACAGCGTTCAGATAAGGCGTTGAAGAAGAAGTTGTAGTTGCAGATGCAGATGGCGTCGTTGGAGTCAGTGCAGGGCGTCTCCAGCCGCATCAGGCCGGTGCATTGTGTGCACGGCATGCACTGCTCTGTGTGGCTGTAGTTTTCTGAGAAAGTCTCACCTGCAGAAGAAAGGACAGGTCGAAGGAGACAAGAGAGAGATGAAAGAAGGAAGAATGGGAGAATAAAAGAGTAAAAGAGGTTAGAAGATGGAGAGAGCAGGAAATATGATGACATAAATGGGGTTAACAGTGACTCTAATGACATTAATCATGTTTACTGCACATCCATTGGAAGGGAGGACACATTGATCCACTGGGCTATTAGTGATTTGTGCTCGAGGACAAGAAAGGTGCTCTTGTTGGGGAGCGAGTCAAAAGCCTGGTGCGCTCATTACGATATTGATCTCAGTGTGTTTGTGTTGCACTGAGTAAACTGCTTTAATCTCAGTCATGCACACAGTGGAGTGCATCCATATGATTACAGTGATCCACAGGTGATACAGACCCAACGTCAAAACTTATCAAGCGATTACTTTATGGAATTCCACGTTTCTGCTAACTGTTTGGAAATACTTCATTCACATTGTTGCAAGTCTTTTAAATGAACCATACTACTATCGCATACCACCGCCAAGATCCAACAGTCCCAAGTTTACTCACAAAATGTGATTAAACAACTTCTTAACAACTCTGACAATATTTGCATAGTAACAAATGTTACATATGCACAATGTGACATATGCACAATGTGACATATGCACAATGTGACATATGCAC